TTTTAATCGAGATTTTTATATTATTCTGTTCCATCCACAGATAGGGTTGCAAGATGGCAATCGAATATAATAATTGTAGTAGGACAAATTTTCATGTTTCACCAACATTTAGTAAAATTTTTGAAAAAATAATTTTAGATCAGATGTTAAGTTACTTTAATATTAATAAATTGCTACATAAAAATCAATTCGGTTTTACAAGGGGTCGCTCGACAACTGACGCTGAAGTTGAGCTCATTAAACTTATTTATTGTGCATAGGAGAATTCAGAGGATGCTTTGGGTATAATTTGTGACCTATCCAAGGCCTTCGACTGTGTTCACCATGAGACATTAATCAGGAAACTACAGTACTATGGTGTCAAGAACACAGCGAATAAACTTATTATTTCATATTTAAGTTATAGAAAGCAGAAGGTTATTATCAATGGTAAAAGTTCTTCCGGGTCACCTGTACTAATGGGTGTCCCTCAGGGCTCGATTCTCGGCCCATTCCTGTTTCTTAAGTTCTGCAGCATATGCTGTAAAACAGATTAGAGGTCTCACTAGTGTCGAGACAGCTAAATTAGTTTATTTCAGTTATTTCCATAGCATAATGTCTTATGGGATTTTGCTATGGGGAAATGCGGCTGATTCAGAAACTATTTTTGTTTTACAAAAGAGGGCCATTAGAGCTATTTACAATCTAAAACCGAGAGAGTCTCTTAGAGATAAATTTAAAGAAATAAATATATTAACTTTATTCACGAGTGGAGTAAATCATATGGCCTAAATGTCAATCCTAAAAAGTCTCAGGCTATCATTATTGGTAGCCAGAGCTTTATCTCAAGAATTGACTGGTTCTCTGTACCACCTATCGTATTCGATGGAGTTGTTATCCCTTACTTTGACAATGTCAAAAATCTTGGTATTTATATTGATAATTCCTTAAATTGGATATGCCAACTGAATGAGATAAGTAAGAAAACGTTTGTCGCTCTTTGTTCACTGCGTCGCCTTCGATCATTTCTTCTTATTCCTACAAAAAATATACTCGCACAGTCTCTTCTCCTTCTGATTCTCGACTATGCTGACGCAAGCTATGTAGACATAACTGAGGGCCAGCTTAATAAGCTTGAGAGACTTCAAAATACTAGTATTCGGTTCATATTTGAATTGCGCAAATTTGACCATATTTCCCAATTTCGCTCACGTCTCAAGTGGTTACCTATCCGACTTCGCTGGAACATGCATATACTTTCTATTCTGTACTGTGTATTATTTCACCCTTCTACTCATCCCTATCTAAAGGAGAAGTTTAATTTTGTGGGGCTTCTGGGGGAACCTTCACGCTCTTCTATAAAATTCATTTTAAGTGTGCCAACTCACAATAAATCATTTTTCAATAAATCTTTTACTGTCCAGTCTATTAAGCTCTGGAATGCCCTACCTTTGCATATACGTGAGGCACAAACTATTGTTATCTTTAAGCGATTACTTAAAGAGCATTACTTGTCTCAATCGTTCGGACACCGTTAGGATAGATGGTGTGATTATGTATTTATTGTATCTATCAGCTTTATATTATTGTTTGAGGAATTTTGTATATATATGTATATTGATAAATGTGTTGTGTGTATATTTATGTATATATGTTTATATATGTGTATATGTATACCTACATACATATATATGTATATATGTATGTAGGTATATGTGTATGTATATGTATATATTATATGTTTTACTTTATCTTTTATTATGTTTTAGTAATTTAAGTATATTATTTCATGTATTACTTAGTTATTTATATATTTTTTTTGCATTTATTATTTGTATATTTATATTGCACCACCTACCTATTCTTTGTTTGTATTACTTTACACCTTTGGTTGCCTGGAAGAGATCGCTATATAGCGATAGCCCGCCAAATTGTACATATTATATGACTGATTTTTGTTATGACATTTGTATATTTGTTCGTGGTGTACAATAAAAGTATATTCATTCATTCATTCATTCATATATTAACTTTGGCCTCTCAGTATATTTACGAAAATTTAATGTATGTTCACAGAAACAAAGGTAGTTTTAGTAAAAAAAGTGATATACATTCTGTAAACACTAGGAACAAACACAAGCTAGTGATACCAGTTTCTCGACTCCACAGAGTCAGTAATTCATTCTTGGGGCAATGTATACGCTATTACAACAGGGTCCCGGAAAGTGTACAGGCTCTCTCTATTACCAAGTTTAAATGTTTTTTTTTAGCTGAAACTGTATAAAAAGGGTTATTATAATGTAAATGAATACACGGTTGATAATATTCCCTGGGAATGAGGGGGTCGCTTCCAAGCAGAAACTAAAATAAATTTTGTAAATAGTTTGTAACCATTAATATTGTAAAATTTATTTTAAAAGTCCCGCTGGGTTTCTTGCTGGTTCTTCCCAGGACAGAGGGTTTTTTTCGAACCAGTGGTAAAGTAAAAAATGACTCTCAATAAGAATTACACATGTAATCTATATTGAATAAAAAAATTATTCTATTCTATTCTATTCATGTATAGTTTATAATTACAATTTGCTTAATTTTTTTTCTCAATTTTAATAAATCTTCAACCCTCGCCGGTCGATAACTGATCAACTACGAAGGAGATTGTAAAATATAGAGTGCGCACTTCATACTAGAGAAACGTTCCTAAATCAGTGACCTTGAAATGAATGAAAGGCACCGAGTTAAGCGTTCCATTTCTTTTTAATAGTGTCCATGATACAATATTTTGAGGATATTAATAGTATATACAGCATTACGGAAAACGAAATGTGTATTTTTTTCAATATGAAAAGTGCTGAATGGTGTTATAATTAAACTCCGTTTAATATTTTGATTACATGCTTCGCTACAGTATCACACCTTACGGTAAATAGTGGCGGTGTAGCGTGTGTTGGCTGCTGGAAATACTGCACGGACAAAATAATTCTAGTATATTGTCACATTATTATACTTCTATGGTATTTTTATTCTTCCGTGGTCTATCTTTACAGATAAATTATTGTTCTATACTCTCATATAAATTATGTACACCGCCGCTTCCTCCCCCTACTCGAGAGAAATAAAGCTCGATTTTCACTATGTATGGGATATAATATATATTATATCCCGCGATTGGCTTTCACAACGCGTAGTGTTTCTATATAGTTTGTGGCTTTCACTCTGTGAGATATATTGTTTAACCAGTGTGCGATTACCCCTATACCCCGCACACCGTTCTGCGTCGTCGCGGAACCGTGTGCGGGGTATAGGGGGCGAAATCTATAATATAAAATTATCGCTCGATCGATCGATCGAAAAAATATTTATAGTATGAGATGTAATATATATTATATCTCAGTGTAAACGGTTCCATTAAAAAGTACGGTGAGCTATATTAATTCATATCTCGAGTTATAATATATATTACATTATATCCCATAGTGAAAAGCGGCCTTTTATGTTATTTTGTCTATGGGACTTTCTTGCATGGGAACCTTATCATAGGAGTGGTGTTGGGGTGTATGGGACACTTCCCTCACCCCTCCAGCCGTAGCTTGCTACATATATATTTATCTATGCCTCCAGCCAAACAATTCTAAATTTTTACCAAAATAGTACCTCACTGAAAGTGGATAAAAATAAATAAGATATATTTTTTATAATAAAATTGTTATGCCAAATATGTCTAAAATAAAGATAAAAATAATGTCATGCTTTTGGTTGAAAAAACTCAAAAATTCTCATTGAATCCACATAAGTATGCACAAACATTCATTAAATAGAATCATCATGAAAGTTAAGTGTCTAGGGTTTAAATGGTAACTTCTTTCTTTAACTCTTAATGTAGTAAAAAAATCATTTTATTTCACTTAATATGGCCTTTCCTACCATGTAGTAACAGCCTAAGAGAACTAACTATCCCATATTTATAGGGTTTCGTAAGAGGCAACAGAGGGACACTGCGACCAGAGATGGGTAGCAGCTTTTTCTACAAACATCTTATTGAAAATTTATGGTTAGTGTGAGTTTCTGAAAGCGAATGGAAACTGGTACTTAACAGTCACTGATGATCGTCTAATATGCAATAATACTCAATGTCCTACAGCTTGCCAAATAAACTGGTATCCGAAAAGGCTTTTGTACCATACACCACATGTATACTCTTCGGCAACTACCCCACCAGATCTAACATGTAGGTAGCTGATAGACGCAGATGGCTCAGGACAGTACTTCGTGGCAATCTATGAGAGGGGGCCTATGTTCTGCATTTTGGAATTGGCTGTAATAATGATGATGAATTTCTTTTAGCCAGAACCTCATATCATAATCTATTATCACAGCTCTTGATCACCATAAAAATAACTAAATATCAATAAGAAAAACTTTAAATTATCCTTTACAGTTATGATTTTATTTAAAAATTATTTTTTTGATTCTAGGAATAAAAATATAAATTTAGCACAAGGAAAATTTGGATGTTTTAAGGGACATATTTTAATATCATTTAATGTTTACAATTAAAAGAAATAAGTTTGAATTATTTATTAGCTTTAGCACTGCTTGGTTATAATTATAATGATATAATGTCACTAGTTCTTTGGTTGTATGTATAATTTATATAATAAATACTAAATTCATATATATATATATATATATATATATACTAGTTCGCCAGGCAGACGTTGTTCTACCCTTTCCCTTCCTATAAAAATCCTTAAATTCACAATAAAAAATTTTGAGTGTCATTTATCGGGATAAAAACTATCCTATCTCTCAAGTTGTATCAAAATGCACACCTTGTGCAAAATTTCATTGAAATCAGTTCAGTGGTTTAGGAGTCCATCGTGGACGAATAACGTGACACATAATTTTTATATTATATATGAATTTATACTAAAATATAAAGAACAGTAATTTAATTTAAATGAGTTTCACAACGCAAAAATCTCTGTTTCTGATGGTAAGGTCAAACTTTCATTATATAGAAATCAGAAAGATTCATATGGTAACATTCCCTTGCATTTGTTTGTGTTACATAAACATTTTTTTCTTTTACAATCAACATCATTAATTTCCTGTTGTGAATAACTACAATTATTGGACCCATAATCAATAGTTATTTCTTGATCGGGTAAAATATCACAAAGACTAAAGATAGCAAGCTTTGGAATTGGTGAATTGATTCTTACTGGTACTATGTAACAATTTGGATCACAACTGTGATTAATGTAACGACCAATATTACCAAAACTAGAAGGATCAACAAAAGTCTGTGTTATTTCATCATTAGAATGTTCATTTAAACAAAAAATATAATTTATTTTTTTGTTAGCCACATTTAATCTGTGTCTTTGGAATGCTTGTGATTTTGTTATAAGTTCTCCTGCATACTCACATACAAATGAACCTTTAGCAATTAAATACTTTGTAAATAGACCAAAACCTTTCTCTTCCAATTCACAACTCTTAACACTTAAGCCATCACAAGGTCCTTTTTGGACTAACCGGTTTCCACAGTGACTTATACACAAACAAACATCATTGCATTCAAATACAGGTTTTTGATTTATATTATTGTTGTTACAATTAAGTTTGTAAGTTCGCAGGTTATGATCAATGGAAAAAGTGTAATTTCTTCCCCTGGAACTATTAATACATAAACATCCTGCATCTACACAATGTCCTCTACATTCACATTTACAAACAAGTTGTGAATTAAAGTTGTTGATTAATTCTAAATATTCTTCAGTATCTTCAGCTGGTCCCGGTATATTTTCATTTACATATATCAACCGACTATCAGAGTGTATGTAATTATCATTCATAGTACTTTTACGGTAGAAATAAAATAATATCGAAAACGCGCGATGACTTATCATTTATCTATGATATAATCACAAATTCATAATACAAACTATAATATAATAATGTAAACAAAATATAATAAGCTTGGGCAAAAAATATCGTTATATATCGTCGATATATTAAATCGCGATATATCGATATTTATTTTACAGTATCGAGCTCGTATCAATTTCGATATATTTTAAAACGTTGTATTAATTACAAAACTTGTAACAACAAAAAGAGGTACAAAAATATTCATATGTGGTGGGTTGACGTTTTTTTGCATCGTCCAACTCCAACCGTCAGTAATATAAAATTTTGGACCTTATCTTTATATAATGCAAATGATGATGATATATCGATATTACTCACGCGATATATATCGATACGGCTTAAAAATATCGATTCGATATATATTGATATATTTTTCCTTGGCTATCCCTAAACTATAAATAACAAACTAAAAAATACGAATACTTTTCTTATTGTAATATTTTGACTTGGATGCTTGTCTTTTAAGCCATGTCTTCATTTTATTCGGGATCTTCGTTTTTATTTAGATTTTCAATATCAGTTGATAATATTCCTTTAAAGTACCCTGCTTTACAATATGTTGATGCATCACATTGCGTGGTTTAGGAGTTTTTGGGAGGTTTTAACGGCAACATTTGGCAACTTGGTAATAGTATCTCAAGACACCTAAGCAGATAGACAGACATCTTATCTTGAGATTCACATCAACATCGCTTTCACCGTTTTCATTCCACTGATAGTTCACATGCGCAGACATTTAATACACAAAATCCCCCTACTTTTACATATCAAAATCTACTTCAAACCATTCTTCTTCTTCTTGGTCGTGTTCTTCAAAATTGAAGGTCGTGTCCGTAGCTTAGTGCCTTCACAGCGCTGTACGCTATAGCCCTTAATTCTGTTCGGTCCTCGTCTTTTCGCATTGCAGTCGTGAGTGAGAGGCCAGTGAGTGATTTGACCTGCTCTGACCAGCGGCTAGATGATCGGCCGCGTGGTCTTTTGCCCCCCACCTTGCCTACGACTATAAGTCTATCCAAGTTATTAGGCGGGCGTCGGGCAATATGACCAAAATAACTCAGAATACTCTGGTAATACCTGGTAGAGAGTCTGGTGTCAACACGAAGCTGCCCCAGGTTCGACTTGTTGGTCCTCTTAGCGGTCCATGGTATCTGAAGCATCCTTCTCCAACACCACATTGAACAAACAATTATTGAAACATTATACAGGAGCAGGAATCCACTGCACCCACTGACCTCTATATATTAGCTGCATAGGTCAAATTTCCGCCAAAACCAAAATATGAATACGAAAAATAAATACCACAAATAAATAAATACCCATACAGGGTTATATATTTCAAAGAGTATATGTCCAAATTTTCATAGAATTATTAGTAGAACTAATAATAATTCTATGGTTCTATATATATGTTTGTGTGTATATAATAATGATATACCGTTATCGTAGTTTTGAAAAAAAGTAGAAATAAAGCTTTTTAATAAAAACTATCCTAAATCACAGAACACAATTACACCGCCGTCACCGAGAGTCCCAAATTCAACCAATGTAGTTTATGGGCAACAACTATCTACAAAGAGTATAGAAACAAAGCATACAAATTATATGGATTTATTATGAGATCAACTCGCGACTTCAAACGGACCTCTTCATATCTTTGTTTATATAAAACCCTAGTTCGCTCTCAACTTGAGTATGCTGTGCCTATTTGGAATCCTTACTATAATAAATATATACATAAAATTGAAAATGTTCAACGCCGGTTTCTACGTGCAATGCATTATAGATGTCATAAATCTTATCTACCATATGACCAGTTACTCAGTAGATACAAACTTCTAACCCTCGAATCTAGACGTAAGCAATTAGAGGCTATGACACTGTTCCATATAGTAAGATGCAAGTTCGACTGTATTGAGTTAAATAATGTGTTATGTTATGCGGTACCCAGAACTGTCCATAGACGACAGGTGCGTCCGGGTAAACTTTTTGCCGTAAGTGCCTGTCGATCCAATACCGGTATACGTTCACCGATTCGACGTATGGTTGCCACATATAATGAGACCTTCGAGCATATAGATATTTTCACATGCTCAACGGAAAGGTTTCGTGGTCTTTTATACAAGACACATTTCAAATAATAATTTGTCACCTTAGTCACATTATAATATCATTGCTGACCATACTTTGACACTTATATAATACGTTCTGTACAGCTGCAGGTCTCCTAGCGTCTTAATCATCTATCTCAAGAGGTAATCTGTGAACAGCACTGTGGGCTGCATTATTGCGTATATTAATGTTACTGTACTATCTGTATGTAATATATATAATGTAGCTGTAAGCTGTTCCACTTTGAATAAATAAAATAAAATAAAATAAATAAAATTAGTAACTGTCCTATAGTATTAAAGAAAGGCAAAAACTACGCGTCAAAGATAATATAAATAAATATGTTTTTGCCGACCAAAGGGCGCTCACATACGAATGTGTGCTTGTGTAGTAAAATAATAGTAGGCATTAGATATTTAAGTATGACAAAATAATGCATTACCACACATTCTGAATTTAAGAGATAAAAAGGACAAAATGCTTGAGATTTATTTAAATAAATTTTCTTCATATATTTATTATAAACTGACGTTAGAATGTTTGCAATACAAAAGAGAAAAAGAGAAAGAGTAGATACACTAATGGAAAAACTACAACATATCCAACCATAAATACTTATAAAATTACTTATTGAAATTTATTTTCATCTTCTATACAAATAAATAAAATTGAAGTGTCTGTTTGTAGTGATGTAAGCTTTTTACTGAATGCATTTGAAATACGGTACTAATAACAAAACAAAAACAATTTTTATAATTTTTGTGTCTGTCTGTCTGTCTGTTTGTTCCGGCCAATCTCCGAAATGGCAAGACTGATTTTGACGAGAATTTCACTGGCAGATAGCTGACGTCATAAGTCAAACGCAAAAAAATTAAAACCCTTGAAATCGTAGTAAATTCCACCAAGGCCTTAGTCGCAGGGGACAGCTAGTAATAGAATAAACTATGTAGCAAAATTGCAAAATATCTTTATCTTTGAAGAAAAATATAAATCTAAAAACTTTTGTTTTTACTTTTCTTTTTGTTCTCTTAAACCTAATGAAAAGTTCAAAATTAAGCACCAACTATATTTCAGAAGATTATATATTTAGAAATAACGTGTGACTACAGCTACATATTATAAGCTCATTTTTATTTAAAATAGCAAAAGGTATCTGAATATCTTGACAACGGTGCGTTTGCCAATTCCGAGTGCTTCACCAATTTGATCCAGTACTTCTGTCGTTGGTAAAAGGAGCCCATCGTTTTGTGACTCACGTTCAAAATATGCGTGTAATTTCACCGCCAATGCGCGAGCCTGGCTGCTTAATGTGCAAATACCACAACTACTTCCTTTTTTGGACATTATGATTACTTGCTTAGTCAGAGTCCAGTATATTACTTGCCAAGGTCAACCAATATAGAAGAAACAGTCTAAAAAGTTATAGCTGAGTCACAAAATAAAAAGACAAACACAAAATTACAAAAGTTTTTTTCAGTGCGGCGTTAGATATGAATTTTCTTGCCCACACAACTACGCAGCCAACGTAGGAAATTGTTAAAAAAAATTGAACTTGTTTTATTCATGATTCATGTAATTTAAGGAATTTAAAAAAAATAATAAAACAAGTATCAAGTTAAAAAAAATAATGATTCGATTATTTGAATTTTTTACCGATTATTCGAAATTTTTTGCCGATTCTTCGTATAACAATGAATTGTAATCATCCAAACACTATGGTAAGGTACATAGCAACATATCGTTTTGATATCATTGAAACAACGCCAGGCAAAAAAGTTGACTGATATTGTTTTTATATTTTGCTTTTTTTAAAAGATTGGAACTAAAATTGGTGACAGAGAACTATACATGTTATATATGTATTATGTACTTCATAATTATTGGGATTTATGTAATAGGTTATTTTAAATCGTGTGAGTACGCTTGTACAAAGTTATTGCGCAATATTTTTTAATGTGAAACGTCAAAAGATATTTCTTAGATTTGTTTGATTATAGTTTATTGTGATTTTGGTTTTTAATCACTCCATCACAAATCTAATGTATGCTAATCTATGGCTACTCACAGACCATTGTTGCTCTATGATATATACTATACTATTATTTATTATAGTGCCATCTATTGTCACTTGTTAAAACTAATTATAGCAATTGTGCCAAATCAAAGAATATATACACTACGCGAAGCCAAATGTACTTAAATCTCAGACTACTAAAAAAAGTAGACGGAACGCGGAGTTTTCACAGTGAAACAAGAAAAAGTAAGCCGAATTTGAAATAGGAAGCTTCAATGCTGACCGAAGACTGAATAAACCGAATCCTATCACGTAGCTATAATATATAAGTTTACAACAAGACAATTATTTATCATAGATAATTCACTATATACCAGGGATTATTTATTGTACTTAAATATCTTCCTTACTTCCTTCTCGTGTATATAAGATTGTCCAATAAATTGTTAACTTAATAAAAACCAAGTGAGATTACATTACGAAAAAAAATTGTTGATTTATTTGAATCAAATGAATGAAGATGATAATAATATATTAATGCCCCACAATAAAGATGGTTTATTTCCCTTTCCTTTCATTTCTACGAGAGACATATGGGGGGTCTGCTGACTGAAAACGACCCCTGTTGTCGTTTTTGCTAAAGGGTTAATACTGGCCAATTTCTCGGGTCATCTGAAGCTACTGAGACTCCGTAACGGATCACTCTGGGGTTATAATGTAAAACGTAGTGCTCCTTGATGTCTCCCGCAACATTCGGCTGTTTCTTTCTCTTTCATTTACTGCCTTTTTAAGTACTTTAGATGTTAAATATATTGTTTTTAAGAAAGCACTATAAACTCAATATGTAAACTCATTAATTCATTTTTATGCTTATAGAAGTGTTTATCTTATATATTTAATAAATGATAATGACTCCTAACTTGACGAGAACACTACATTTATTTTATTAATAATAATCAAAAGGATATCAAGTGTATTCAATATCTTTATTTTATACGATTTTATTTATATTTATCATATTCTACTTATTAAATGTATTTAGATAATCCAACTAGACGGTGATAACTTATACTATCACAAATCTCTATAATTTAACCCACGTGTGATCAGTATTTCGACATGGAAAATCACCTGAAACGTGGGTAACCTTGGGCATGATGGTATACCGTAATAATGTGTAATTATATTATTACTTTTGTAACGGTTAAGTATTATTATTTATTTTAATGTCAATTAAAGTACGCAACGAAAATAGAACTAAGGCATGTTTCATCGTTCATTAATTTATTACCGTAAAATTTTGGGTGAGTAAGTGGTACTTAGTAAGTGGTACGCAGTAAGTAGTACTGGTTTAGTAAGTGGTACTTACTAAAATTCCCCTGCCTAACACAGATCTCACCCAAGATTGCCTCAAAGGAACAATATTGCCATATTTTCCAAAAATGATATGGCAACCACAGTTTTAATTATTTTCAGTTTCAAATTTAACTTTTTGCCGCCCCAAGTTTTTATAGCATAATAGTGCCCTAGTTTATCATTATAAATTGATATTTTATTTGAACTACAATATTTACAGTTTCGAAGGAATACATTAGTAGCTGAAATACTGTTTCCTTGACTTTTTAATAGTAAACTCCCTGATAATAATGTCAGAATTAATATAATATATATAATAATGTCAAAGTTTCGATTGGAACGGCGCTTCTGCACTACACAGTTATTTTACTATCTGAAATGTCATGTCAGTGGCCCAGTGCTGCTAATTTAATATATGAGATTTTTATGTTATAGCCGATTTAATAAAAAAAAAACATAGATACAAAAAACATATAGTCAAATTAGAATTTAAGAGAACCTCTTCCTTTTTTAACGAAAACGACTAACAAAAATATAAAAATTTATTACATATATAGTTATACTATTTCATTGAAGTTATACTTCTTTTGGGGCGTTTGGGAAATATGATGAGAATTGTTTTTTTTGTGTTTGAACATTTGGGAATTTTTACAATGCGCATACACACCGACACCTAAAAACGACATCATGAAGTGTTTGCGATGCGCGAGCACACTAACACATCAAAGCGTGAAAAGCTTCAGTGGGTAACTGTCTCTCAAGTTTTTGTGGGAAATGATAACTATATTTAAGGTATTTATTTTCGTTTTGTTACGCTAAAGAAGTTAATTTCCTACGTGTGTACATAAGTACACACACACACGTTTTTTTCTTATTAGATATTGCCTAAGATTAAATTGACAAAATAGCAAAATACAGTTCCAAGGATTTTTCAAGCAACAAGTGGTAGCACTGATAAACACTGATAAACTGAAGAATTTCCAATTGAAAAGCTCGGATAGTAAAATTACGAACAGCGCATAAGGACACACATTATGCATACACAATGGTGGTTTGCTATATCAGACCATAAAAAGTGTAAATTATGGACGCTAATTTTACCGTGTGCACAAACAGCCGAACTATATTTCACACATTTATTCTGTTTCTGTTACTGTTACTGTGGAACTATCTCTACATTCGTACTGCCAAATCGTATCACAAATTCTCTTTATCACCCCCAGAGATTTCTTGTCATATTATGTTGTTGTTCTTGTCAAGTAAAGTTCCTTTGCAAGAACATAGAAGAGCTTGTTACAAGCCGTTTTAGACATTTTTTCGAACAATAATTGTTCGTAGAACAGGAACAGGTATTTAGGTTCTGTCATAACAGTTCCAATCTGTTATATTTATAAAAACCTATTATTTTTTGTTACGATACACCTCACTACTGTGCGATTGATTGCGAGGTGACAAAATGATTCCAATTCAAAGACAATTAGTCACATACGTATTGCGTACGTAAATTTGTTAGCGATACTTCACCATCACTTCATTTAGTTTACGCGTTTATTTATGTCTGTACTTGCGCGCTGTCTACCATTTTTATTGGTCTAAGGTTATAAGGTTGAAACGAATAGATGTGTGAATGTGAAGGCCTGACTGAAGGAATGGGATAGGTTGGTGCAGTGTATGACTGTCTCTCTACGCGAATTTGTGGACGCGCAGGCGCAATGTCGTGACGTGACGTAATTGTCCATTCATACTTTTTGTTCATTCAATGAGTCAAAATAGGTATCTTATTCAATCTTATTGAAAAAGTGTTGTGATAATCAAGCTACAACCCGGGACATAAAACTAGAGCAAATGTGCTTTACGTCTATTATTTCTTGTTGTGAAGTGAAATTTGTGTAATGTCGGTTCAAAAAGTGCATTCATTGATGAAATAGGTGCATATATAAAGCACATGCGCAATGCAAGGATGAATTCATAAGCAATTGCATTAGAAAATTTAATTGTACATGTAAATTCATAGTTTAAAGAGTACGTTCCCACATGTGCGGACTTAAACCATCCAGTAACTTGTTGAAAACAGGCTCAAGTAGAACATTACGACACTCCGGAAGTGGCGGGACAAGCCGGCCGAGGGGCTCGTTCCGAAAGAGATAACAGCGGATGAAAGAGATAAACAGTTATGGATTTAACATGGCGGACGAAACGCGTAAAGTGCGAGTCGAAGAAAGATTAAAAATAAAGATTGGTATGTATGGAATCTTTATTAATATTTTGCTTTTAATGCATCTTGTTTCGATTTATAGGCATCACAAAACAATAAGTTTAAATGTGTTCGAAATCGACTTTTCTTATTTTTGTTGTCATTGTCGTGAACAGGTGGTGCCCAAGACTAGGTTTCGAAGTTTTAACGAAATTGCTGTAGCATTTTGTTTTAATTTAGATATCTTCAATAAGATGTAGACGTCCATACTGACTGTTAAAAATATCTCTTTTATATTTAATCTTTATACTATCCATTTGTTTTTGTCGTGATATGCTTTGACAGTTCGCGCAGTTTATGAATGAATCGCCGTGAACACAATGAACTCGTGTTTAGATCATATTAGATTAGATATTTTTGTTGCAGGTAGGTATAATGTAGTATATTTATTAAGGCATCTTTAAGACTTTTACAATTTCATTTTCTTACGGGGTTGTTGCTAAGAATAAAAGTGGGAAAATTATTCAATTAAGTAATTTTTTGTTATTTTATAAATTTTTTGTAATTTATCCAGTTGATAATATTCCCATATGTAATTTATTTTTAAATTTTATCTACTATTATTGTAAAAATAAGTAAATATTGCTTATTTTTACTTTAATGTCATTAATTTAAAATTTTTAATGTGAAAGTTATTATTGAACAACATTAACTTTTCTGAATATCAACAAGCAATAAATAAGAACATCATAATTACATATTTTTGAGTAGATAACCATTAATAAAAGAATAGTGTCAATATACAAGGTAGTAGGACTTCTTGCAAGCATAAGTGTTGCCTTTTTTGCGGGTGCTTGTGGGCTGTATTAGTCATCCTCAAAGATTGAAGAATTGGATATTTGACACTAGTCAATTGAAATACTTTTTAAAAGTTATCAAATCAATTTTTTTTATAAAATCCCTATAAAACATTATTATGAATCTTCTGTCTTTTAAAATATATGAAAACATATTGATGTAATGGTTTTATTTTTTCCAATAGTATTTGTTTACTTTCAAATAATTAAAATATTTTTTATCATAAAATGGAACTTCAATTAAGTTTAAAGACTAATCTTCTTCTTCTTCTTTACTTTATGGCTTCTCTTGATCTTTGTAAGTTACTAATTTTTTCCTATAACACAATTTAGCCTCCTATCCTCATCAGACCATTAACAGTTCACTTTTGGACATAGAATCCACTCAAAGTAGCTAGAATCTGCCTTGTTAAAATACTGGTTAGCAATTGCTGTACCAGATGTGTCATACCTTTTTGATCCTGGTTTATTTGACCAGCATCTTTTATATATAGTGTAAATATGAAAGAGTATTACTTCCTGTTATCGTTACAGCCTATTAAAGTCTACATCTGAACATAGGCCTCCTCCATAGATTGCCTCATAGGGGGGATATTTGCCATAGTTGCCACTCTAGGGAGCGGAAGATGCCGTTGCCCAACTCCTGATTTGTTTCCCTCTGTTGTCTCTTACAACACTCTCGGGATGATATGGGGTAATACTTCTAATTGTATGTAAATCTTCTTTGAGTCTTTGCCTCTAACAACATCCATAGGATGAAATAGGTTGATGGTTACTCATAAGCCGTGGTGGCACAGTAACAGCTTCGATAGAAAATTATTTTTCATAATTTAAACTAAAATTTTAATGTAAATTTGCACATCTTGTATAATTTAATTGTTAGGATCTTTATCAAGAAATCTTATAATAAGAATATTTTATTATTTTATTAATAGTTTATTGAGTAGCTTAATTGTGCATTGTTCAAGTTAGTTTAAGAAGTAGGTACATCTATAACTGATTTGTGTAGGTGTCATTGCGAGTGCATAAATCTGTGATAAGCAGAAGTGTGTCTGTTGAGATAGGGATGCAGTATGTCTTCCGGGGCATGACATACGACCTAATCTCCTATGCCAACTTTATTATCACATACAATGAACCCTGTTTGATTGACCCTATCTAAACCCTAATTTAGAAGTTTGTGTATATAATCAGCTATGTAATATATTGTCTTTTCTCTTTTAAGCACTTATTTCATTTTGCTATTTGATTTAAATAACAAACAAAAGAAGACTTGTAAGTGGAACAAAGTATTGAGAAAAATAATAACTTTATATACATATTACATTAGCATAATAAATGCACATTCTCATAAGGATTTTTATAAAAAACAGTATTGATTCTGTTTGGATAAAACATAATTTAAAATTTAAAATTTTGTACAGCCAACTTCAATATAAGTTATTAATAATAACTCAAAAACTATTGGTCTGACCTTGATCAAATTCATATGGGACCACACGTGAAGTACCAGCTTTCAAATAAAAAAAGAATCATCGAAATCAGTACACCCAGTAAAAAGTTATGAGGTAACACACATAAAAAAAAACATATAGTCGAATTGAGTACCATCTCCTTTTTGGAAGTTGGCACAAAAGGCCATTTTCTTTTGTAGTTCACATACATTCACTATAGCCCATCAAAAATCCACTGTTGTATATAGACCCCTCCCATGGATTGTTTCATAGTAATACCATACCACCTCCTACCAACTCCGGTATTGCTATAATTGCCACATTTGGCAGGTATGTTGGCACTGCAATTGTTTATTGAGTTGTTTTCATGAAAATGCTGCTGCCCATCTTCTGTTTAATTTCTCTCTGTAGCGCCTCATATCACACCCAAGGTATGATTTTCTGGTCTCGGCCAAAAAAGCTGGTTTTAGTGGCACTTTGGCCTGGCCGGATCTAGCATACTTAAGCTGTTGGATGAATTGGAGAGTTCAGAATGGATACATTTAAATATACCGTTTGAGCTTCAGTTTGCTAGCCACTAACAAACTAAATTGGTGGATGATGTCTATTCATCGAAGTAATTCGTTAAAACAAAGTTAGAAAGAAAAGCTTCTCTTCTTCGTTTACAATATAAGTTTTAATTGTTATTATTAGAGCTATGACTAAGGGAGCCATAACATGACCCTTCACCGATGACGATATAAAAAAGCTCAAAATCACTTACAAGGAAACATTCCCAGGTATGATTATTTCTCATCATCATCAATGATACTGTATGTTGTGTTATGTTTAAATCTTAGAGACACCCTAAGAATGTCCCTTACATGTCCTAACGACCAAAAAATAAAAAATAAATCTTTATGAATTAAATTAAATGCAAGCTTATAATGTGTTCAATCTCTAAACATATTTTTAAGAAAATCCAAAAGACTTATTCTCTACTTTTTTTACCTGATTTAAAAAAGGAAGAGGTTTTATTGTATGCTTGTTATGAGATATCTTCGCATTTGAGGCCCGATTTTGAAGATTATTTTTTTATTAAATAGGGTTATATTACCAGGGGTATAATATTTCCCATATTAATTATTTTCCCAAATTAACCTGAACATGAATATCAAAACAGCTCATTTTTTTAGATCTCTTGATTCTGTTTAGATTGTCATAAAATCTTTAGGCCACTTACTATAATAAATTGGTATCTTTTTTTTTGATACCATTAAGATTTGTTAAAATTTGGGTGCCCATTATGGGTGGCAGAACGGGGAATTAAATTTTTGTTGTAACTATTTAGACAACTTGGAATTGTGATATTCCTTAGTCCACTCAAAATGGTGAAAAAATTGCTTTTAAAAAAATTCAAAGCAGACTTCAAAGACCTAAAAAGAATAAAATAATATCACATTCTGAAGTTGGGGCTTTACTACTATACACTATGGCCTATTTATGCTGCCAAACAACAGTGCATACATCCATTCAATACAGCCTATAAAAGTCAACTGCTGAACATAGGTCACCCACATAGATTGTTTCATAGGGTGATTTTGCCATAGTTACCACGCTGGGCAGGCGGGTTAGCAACCGTAGTTTCTCATTATTTTGAGTTATTTGGAAGATGCTGCTGCTCATCTCCCATTTCAGTTTCCACCTGTCGCCTCTTACGACATCCACGGGACAGTATGGGTTAGTTGATATTCTTACACTGCCCTTACACAGTGCATGCACTGCACTTAATAGGTAAGAGGATGGTGCCTACCCAGACACGTTTCATAGGCAGAAAAATAGTATAGCCACCTAATAGGAGTCCTACAACCTAGTAATGCTACATGTCCCTTATTATTTAAAACAAATAATAATTAATAACATATCTGCGTATCATTGGAATCAAAGAGGGACACCTGGAAATGTTTCCTTGCCAGTGACCCATGGGCTATGCACAGAGTTTCTCTGCGTGATAAAATTGTCAGAAAAACGAGTAAATGTCATAGCACAATGGATTAGTGGGCTGAAGTGGCAGTAAGCCAATATAGCTTGAACAATATACAACCGATGAGAATGAGGTTCTCGAGTTACAGATTTCAGGATGTAATGAAAATTTTAATTTAAAAACATAAGTTTCGGTTTTGACCTAAACTATGAGAGGAACCGAATATTTGATATCTGCCAACACTCAGATATTATTATTTTTAGAAAATCTTCAATACATTCTTTTTAAATTAATATCTTTTAAGAAAATAAAGTTAAAATTTTACAAAAATTCATGCATATTTGAACCATCTAATTTTGATATCCCGTGCCACTGAAATTCTTAATTATAATTTTATGCAGATTATTGTCACATATATATGTTCAGGAATAGAGAAACAACATTGTGATAAAACCTGCCTGTATAGTAGTGAAAAATTTTGTGTAATGTCTATGTTAAGGAAGGATTTGTTATAAAATATCAGAATAAAGTATACCTTTTCTCTAGGTCCTCCTCATCCTCTTACCTTGTTTTATAAAAAGTTTAAATATACATTTAAGGTTGATTGTTGATTGAGTTGGCATGACTGAAAAAGGGTCACAATTAAAAAGAGGGCCAGTGTAAATACTAATATTATTTAATATTTATTACAAGTGGAGAAAACCATAGACCCAACTTTTGTCAATCTATTTAAAGAAGAGGAAATCTGTCTCATATTTTGAGGATGAAGAC